ATGCCAGCCACTGTGTTGCACTTTATCAATGGGCAAACAGTATAATCAAGACGCCAAATGGCTAATATTCAGAACATCACTGTTTACATTCACTACTGGAGAAAGCATCTTTCATGGGTTGGCCAAAATCCATAATAGTCCTGGTTCAACTAAAAACCGAGACTAAAAACCATTTTTAGTTATAAGTTTAAAGATATCTTTTTGATCTTTACCAACTGGAACTAAAAATCATCTTTGTGAGAACGTGGCCGGTCCCCTCAATATCTTTAGTCCCGGTTGACTAAAGATAAGTTCTTTAGTCCCGGTTGACTAAAAATAAGTTCTTTAGTCCCGGTTGTTTATACCAACCGGGACTAAAAACTAAAAAAACACGTGCGAATCGGAGAGGGAAAAAATAGCACGTGAGAACCCAAAAAATCTCTCTCTCGCTCAACCTTATCTTCTTATCTTCCTCTCCACAAAACCAAATCATCTCTCAAATCCGGCACTCCTTCCTCCTCCTCCTCCCCCGCCCTCCCCTCTCCTCCCCTCGTCCTCCCCTTTCTCCTCCTCGCCCGGCCCTCCCCTCTACTCCCCTTCCTCCTCCTCCCCGGGCCCTCCCCTTTACTCCCCTCCTCCCCTCCGGCGGGCAAGCGGCGGCGTGCAGGCGGCGCGGGGCGGGAGGTGGAGGCTCAGTGGCCTAGCGCGGAGTCATGCATTTTTTTCCTTTTTTTTTCTTTTTTCCTTCTAAACATGTGAATGATGTGAATGGTTGTTTGTTTATTCGATTTGTGATTTGATAATGATGTGTGAATGATTTGTGATTTGTTGTTGTGGATGATTTGGATGTTAAGATATCAGGTTGTTGCTATGGATGATTTGAGATGTTGAGATATCGGGAGATTTGTGATGTGTGAACGATCTGTGATGTGTGAATGATCTGTGATTTGTTATTGATTTGTGATGTGTGAACGATCTGTGATTCGTTATTTTTGTAATGATTTGGAGATATTGGGCACGAGAAAAGAAAAAAAAACTTAACCGGAACCCCTAGTCCTTAGTCCCATCTTTAGTCCCGGATTCGTGGTCCCGGTTGGAAAACCGGGACTACTAGGGGTTCCCTTACCGGCGTTAAAGATGCTTTCTCCGGTAGTGATTTAGCAAGGATGCAGATAAGACTTGTTTATGTAATCAATTGGGCCGTGTTGTTGTCTGGGCCTAACTCTGATACTCTACATTGTAAGGGCTGTCCGGCTATATAAGCCACTAATTGGCGTTGGCTGGCGGTATGAAAGAAGAAATATAAAAACGAAACTCTCTATCTCTGTTCTTTCTCAACTTTTCTTCCTAGAACTCATTCCCAAATCCATCTCGTTTCATCCCAAATCGTGACGACTAGGCGATTCGCCGAAGTTCTAGCGAGTTCGTGACATTTTTGGTATCAGACCCCATGATCCTTGCCCGATTTGGCAAGGGGAAGAGGAAACCCCATGATCCCCATGACGACGGCCATAGCGAGTTGGGGGCATGGAGAAGACGTTGGTGTCGTCCCGTGAGTATGGATGATGTTATAGTGGACGTTGCGCCACTTCTGGCTAAATCACACTGCCTCCGTGCTCACTCCTCTTCCTCCATGCGTACTCGTTCCGCCTCGGCTCTTGCACGTTCCTCCTACTCTCTTGCTAGGCAAGCAACTTCTTCGATGTCAGTAGCACCTGGAGCATCAGTCTTGAAGAATTCGAAGAAGAGCGGTGTGTAGTTGTCAGTGAACTCGGAGTTGTTGAAGCTTTCGGTGTCGAAGTCACTGTAGCCATCCGAAAGGCTAAAGCTATTGACAATCTCTATGGGGCTACAGGATCCGAGTGGTTGGAGCATAACCCCCCACCTCCTAGATCCAATCTCAAGCGAACGTGGAACTAGGCTTGGTCGTGTCTTGGGAGGAGAGGCTAATCTTGTTCCAAAAGTTGTGGCAAGGAACGGAGGGAGTCGCATAGCAATCTGGGGATAGATTGCTGCGTTGTTGGAGAGGCTGCGAAGACGGTGATTTGTTGATGAGGATTCCCTCAAGTAGCTTGGAGCTGACTCAGAGAAGATACTTGAGTAGGTCTCGGCGGCATTCGGGATACCAAACGGGGCTAATGATGTGGAGTCCCTCCCCAACTGGTTCCGAGTCGAGGAGAGAGATCTTGTCGAAGTCGTCGGTGAGTCGAGGTCGCTAAATCTATACGCCTGGCCCGGATGAAAGGCGAAATAGTCGGCTCCCAAAGTTGATCCCATCGCACTTGTTGGTGGAAAACTCAACGCAAACCCAGTTAGCATGCCAACTGTCGATTCTAGAAATTGGCAATGAGAAAAGTGGGTAGCGTAAAATGGATGAGTAAAGGGACAAAGATCTAGACAAGTTCAAGCCTTCTCGATGAGATTTAGTACCCTACTCCAGTTTTGGGAATTGTATCCGCTGGGTGTTGTATTGATCTGATGATCTGATTGTGGTTATGCCCTGAGGGGACTAGCTGCGCACCATATATATGTTGGGGGCAGGGTTACAAGGGAAAAGAAACAATCAAACACAACTAGGTTCCTCTATTGATTTACGTAATCGTATACTACTAAAACTTATAACTTATGGAACATGCCTTGAGAAATACGATAATGTATTTTTCCAATATCTAGTCTATTTGCATAATATACAGACATGGCCCACCTCCTATCTCCAGTCGGATAAGCTACCTATAATCTCAACATTCGGTCCCAAAATATAAATAGCATAGAGTCGAATAAGACACAACATTTGGACATATGCCCTGTTTAGACCCTAAAAAATTTGGCCAAAAACGTCACATCAAATATTTGGACACATGCATAGGACATTAAATGAGGGAAAAAAATCAATTGCATAGTTTGCATGTAAATTGCGAGACGAATCTTTTGAGCCTAATTTCGCCATGATTTGACAATGTGATGCTACAGTAAACATTTGCTAATAACGGATTAATTAGGCTTAATAAATTCGTCTCGCAGTTTATAGGCGGAATCTGTAATTTGGTTTGTTATTACTACGTTTAATACTTCAAATGTGCGTCCATATACTTCAAAAACTTTACACCCAAATAACTAAGGAAAAAGTACGAATTATCCCCCCCGAACTATCGTGGTCGACCGAATTACTCCCCTGAACAACAAAATCGGACATTCTTTACCCCCAACTATGCAAACCGGATGAATTACCCCCCTCGACCCAATCCGCGGTAGTTTTGGTCTACGTGGCATACGCGTGGCAGTCCAGTCAGCATTCTATTTATAAAAAATGTGGGACCCACCTGTCATACTCGTTCTCTCCCACTCTTCCTCTCTCTCTTCTTTCTCTCACTCTTCCTCTCTCTGTTTCACTGGTTAGTCGGTCGGCGGCGGCGGGGGACACGGAGCGGCGGCAACGCCGGCGGGGGATGAGGAGGACGATGACGAGGATGGCGACGAAGGAGTAGGGGATGATGACGAAGACGACGCTCGGACGCTGGCGGCGGCGGCCATGGCGGAGAGGCGGAGCGCGGGGAGGACGCGACGGCAGTGGGATGAGGAGGACGATGACGAGAATGGCGCGCACGGCGGTTCTCAATCTTTCATATCTCGACGAGAATGGCGCGCACGCCGACGGAGGCAGCTGGGCGACGGAGGGGAGCCAAGGACTACGGCGGTTGGGGCAGAGCTAGCTAGGGGCGTCGGAGTGGAGGATGGCGACGCGAGTCGAGGAGGAACCGGTCGGCGGGCGGCGAGATGAGCCCGGCCGCTGAGGAGGCGAGGCGAGGTGAGGCGAGAGCGGCGGTGGAGGGGGTGAGGCGAGCGCAGGCGAGCGCGGCGGCGAGATCAGCTCTGCAAGGACGAGGTCGGCTGCACGTAATGCATCTGCTTCTGCGCCGTGGCCGCGCTCATCGTCGTGCTCGGCGTGAGGTTTTTGGCGTGCTTCCGGTGCCGAGCAACGGCGGGTCAGAGCACCACCGCCGCGGCGGCCGCCCACGACGTGATGGAGCCCATCACGGTGACTGTGGTGAGAACGGACAGGGACGCCGCCGTCAAGCAGTCGCACTCGCCGCCTCCACCGGTGCCGGCGGCTATGATGACAGGCGAAGGCAACAAGCTGGTGTTCCTCGACAACGCGCCGGAGGCCGTACGACCTAGACACGCTACTGTGCGCGGCCAAGGTGATCGGCAAGGGCGCCACGGGGACGACGTCACCACTCCGGCTCCGACAAGGTAAGCAGAACGGGCTCCCGTTCCTCGACATCGAGGCGCCTACGCTTGCGGCGGCGAGGTGGTGGGTGAGGACGACGAGGAGGAGGTGGATCCGTGGATGGTGGGAGACGGAGCGGCGTCATCGGTGGCCGCTCGGCGCGTTGGTGGTTGCGCTATTGGTGGAGAGAGGTAGGAGGGGAGAGACCTAACAGTGGGCCCCAACAATTTTTTTTAATGAACTGCTGACTGGACTGCTACGCGTACACCACGTAGATCAAAACCACCGTGGATTGGGTCGAGTGGGTAATTCGTCCGGTTTGCATAGTTGGGGGTGAAGAATGTCCGGTTTTGTGGTTCAGGGGGTAATTCGGTCAATCGCGATAGTTCAGGGGTAATTCGTACTTTTTCCAATAACTAAACACACATATAGATTGTTATATTTTGGAATGTAAATAGTAATTTATTTTAATACTTAATTATTCGTGATTTTGTAGTAGAATATCATGCTAATTATCACTGGAAAAATATTTATCACTGACAATATCTACAAAGATTTAGGCCTCCTTTGAAACAAAGGATTTATGTAGGAATTTCATAGGATTCAAATCCTATAGGAAATTTTCCTATTTGGCCCTTTGATTCAAAGGATTGAAGCTTTCCAAATCCTATGAAATTCCTATGGAATGGCACATTGCATGTAGATTTTAGAGGAAATTTAGCAAGAGCTCCAACCTCTTGAAAAATTTCCTTTGAGTCTATCTCTCTCATCCGATTCCTATGTTTTTCCTGCGCTCCAATCAAACGACAATTCCTGTATTTTTTCTGTGTTTTGTAATCCTCTGTTTTACACTTCTATTCCTGTCAGAATCCTGTGTTTTTTCTATTCCTCTGTTTTTTCTACCCTGCGATTTAAAGGGGGCCTTACTTTACAGATTTCTAACTTACATTTAAAAAGAAAAAGGAAAATACATGTACTAGTGTGTAGTGTCCGACGTTATATGAAAAAACGAGCCAGAGTGAGAGGGACCCTTGCTGCAAAAAACGGACTGATTTTTAATGGTTGTGACACGCTCCCCCAAATCTGCAGTCCCGAAGCGAAGTTCAATCCATCCCCAAATGTCCCGGCCAACCCAACACCACCCCACCGCCGCCGCCACCGCCGTCATCCTCCTCTTACTTGCAGTATCCCCGGCGCCGTCCGGCGCGGATCCGGACGACGAGCGGTGCCTGTCGAGCCTCCAGCAATCTTTGTCCGGCCTCCGCAACTGGAGCAAGGCCTCCTTCTCCGCCCCCTGCGAGGGCTTCATCTCCCACCTCCAGGGCGTCACCTGCAACAACGGCCGTGTCTACAAGCTCTCCCTCCCGGGCCTCTCCCTCGCCGGCACCATCCCGCCGGACCTCTCCAACTGCACCAACCTCCAGTCGCTCGACCTCTCCTCCAACGCGCTCTCCGGCGCCATCCCCCCGGAGCTCTCCGGCCTGCTCAACCTCGCCGTGCTCAACCTCTCCGCCAACCGCCTCTCCGGCGCCATCCCAAGGGACCTCGCCCGCTGCGCATACCTCAACGTCATAGATCTCCACGCCAACCAGCTCACCGGCAGCATCCCCGACGAGCTCGGCCTCCTCGTCCGCCTCTCCACCTTCGACGTCTCCTACAACCGCCTCTCCGGTCCCATCCCGGTGCTCCTCGCCAACCGCTCCGGGACGACGGGGAGGTTCAATGCCACCTCCTTCGTCGGGAACAAGGACCTGTACGGCTACCCGCTGCCGCCCATGCGGGGGCACGCCCTCTCCGTCCTCGCCATAGTCGGCATCGGCCTCGGCAGCGGCCTGCTCAGCCTCGTCCTCAGCTTCTCCGCCGTCTGCCTCTGGCTACGCGCCACCGACCGCACGGCCACCATGCCCGGCGAGGAGGGCAAGATCTCCCACCTCATGCCCGACTACTGAACCCAAGATCCGTGTTGGATTTCTGGATCCGATCGAGCAGTGGAGCGTAGCCGCCATCTTCTTTCTTGCCTCAGATGCTCATCTAATTGCAGTTAATAATTAATTGCTGCATTCTTATCTCTTTTTTAGCGTGGGCTTTCTTCTTTTCTTCTCTGGTGTTCAATAACTAATTTTTTTTTTCTTCTTTTACTTTGGATTTCTAGAGAGAGTCATCAGTGAGAGGAGTTAGGCGTGATGACATCAGCTTTTGTGTATAGGTACTACCGAAGAATTTATGTCACTTCACCGGAAGACTGCTGCTGATCTTGCTAGCTTATGCTTGAGATGGAATACTCTGCTTTCGCACTTGGATTTTTTTATTTCTCTCACTCCACAATGGCGGCGAATCCTGCATCAAATTGACTTATGCTATGCTATTCTATTCTAACCAGATTGTGTGCTCTACATTGTCCCAGATTAACTTATTGTACTCGATATTTTTAATCAGATTGTGTGTTCTATAGTGTTCCAGATTAACTTATATTCTAATCAGATTGTGTGCTCTGCTTACTTTGTTCCAGATTAATTAACGAAGTTTTGCTGTTCTGATCCAGATTGGATTGTTTGTTCCAAATTCTTTGTGCTGATGAGCTGTTTCCACTCAATCGATCGATCGATCGATCCCTTTTGCTGTGCTTAGAAAAATCTCTCCTTTTGGCTTACTAGCTTGTAATGCTTTGATTTTGATTGGTGCCGCTCCTGTGAATGGGTCAGTGGAAGGCGCACTGCCACTAGTAGTGGAGGCTTTATTTAGAGCACCCCCATCATCAGTATAGTACTACCTCCGTCCCAAAATATATCTATTTCTATCACAATACTTTATCCCAAAATAAAGCTATTTTTCTACCTACCTTCTCTCAACCAATCACAACTATTCTTTTTCACCTACTTTCTCTTTTCAACTAATCACATACCTTCTTCAATCATTTTCACCTACTTTCTTAATACCCGTGCCAACCTCAAAAATACTTAGGCCCCCTTTGATTCAAAGGAAATTCATAGGAATTTTAAAGGATTTAATTCCTATAGGAATTTTTCCTATATAGCCCTTTGAATCAAAGGAATGAATCCTATGGAATCCTATAAAATTCCTATGAAATGCCTCTTCCTATGCAAATTTTGAAGGAAATTTAACATGAGGTTCTACCTCATGTTAAGAATCCTTTGAGTCTTTCTCTCTCCTCAAATTCCTGTGTTTTTCCTGCGGCTCAATCAAACGGTCATTCCTATGTTTTTCCTGTGTTTTACAATCCTCTGTTTTACACTTGTATTCCTATCAGAATCCTATGTTTTTCCTATTCCCCCGTTTTTTCTTTCCTGTGATTCAAATGGGGCGTTAAGAACGAAGGAAGTAGTATTGTGCCAGCAGCAGCTGCGGCTTGTTGGGTTCTCGTTGATTCATCTGCCACTTTGCGGGCTACGATTGACTGACGTGCGGGACCCAGCGACAGGAGTTCACGTGTAAGCGACTGTGATCTCACGTAAAATCATCATTGCGTGGGCGTCGCTTTGTTTCGACGTGTCATGTGAGTCCAGTAGCGTGCATCGGCAGGGAAGACCTACAAGTGGGTTGCAACATTTGGATTTTTTATGCTTTTGTGCAATCAAAAACTTGTGTACAAATAAATCTCTAAAAAAAACTTAGGATGGGTTTAGGCTGCGTTCGTTGTGATGAGTTCTGGGGGATTGGGTGATAAAAGAACATCGTATTCCGCGCGCACGCTTCCCAAACTACTGAATGATGTATTTTTTGCAAAAAAATTTTATAGGAAAGTTGCTTTAAAAAATCATATTAATCTATTTTTGAAATTTAAAATAGTTAATACTCAATTAATCATGCACTAATGGATCACCTCGTTTTGCGTTTCTTCCCAATCTTCTCAATCCCCCTCTCCTCAAACTCACCCTTAGTTCACGTTAAAATTCAAAGTTTGATTGAAATTAGAACGATGTGACGGAAAAGTTAGAAGTTTATGTGTGTAGGAAAGTTTTGATGTAATAGAAAAATTAGAAGTTTGAAGAAAAAGTTAGGAACTAAACCAAGCCTTATTAATATAGATCTTTTTCTAGGCTTCAGTAAAATGGCGCTTAGATCCGACGTCTTGACACCAATGACACTCGCGTTGATTACCTCGAGCCCTTAGCAGTATGAAAGGGATAATGGGCGGTCAGGAGGGCGCGCGCGACTGGACACGTGTAGTGCGCTGAGAGGGGGCGCAAACGGCACGCGCGTGGAACGATTTTTCCTTTTTTTTTTCGTTCTTTTTCTGTTTGGTTTTTTTCCGGTTTTCTTTTGGTTTCTCTTTCTTTTTTTTGTTTTTTTTAAAAGATGTACATTTGCAAAGTTTGTATTCGTATGTATACCAAGTTTTGTATTCGCACGTATATAAAGTTTGTATTCGTGTTTTTTCACTCGGGTTAATATGTACATATATAAAGTTTGTATGCGCGTACGTAAAGTATGTATTAGTATACGTGTATGCAAAGTTAGTATACGTGTATGCAAAGTTTGTATATGCATATGCAAAAATTTGTATACGTGTATGCAAGTTTTGTATATGCGTATGCAAAATTTATATACGTGTATATTTTTTATATGTCAATTTATTAGTACACATAAAATTTGTATTTATATACATACGTAGAAATTTGGTATTGATACATAAAAATACAAAGTTTAAATGTATATATATAATGTGTGTGTATATATATATATATATATATATATATATATATATATATATATATATATATATATATATATATATATATATATATATATATATATATAGAGAGAGAGAGAGAGAGAGAGAGAGAGAGACGTAGTAGTACTGTTATAGTAATAGACTAGTAGTAATGGACTAGTAGTAGTAGGAGCCTGGTCGCGTGGGGTTCAACTTATATAAATATTTTTTAATGCCGTAAATATAACAAGGTTATAAGTATAAATTAATTAAATGTACATCATAATATATTAATAAAGGGGTTATTTTTTATTTATTTTCAAAAGATTTTTTCACATACATATATATGTATTGGACTAGAATTTTTTAGGGTGATCGTGGGACCATCGGGACCGGTCCTAGATCCGCCTACGACACCGAAGAGACTAGGCTAAGAATCTTTTTTTGTAAAATAAACTTTTAAAATGGCTCAAAATGTAAATTCCTTTTCTTACAAATAGGTTCTAAGTGACCTATATGTTAGAAAAAAATTACATGTTGATTCTTTTCAAGAAAAGTATTTGCAAATAGACCCTTCTACATCTCTACTACCATAGGACAAGGTGTCAACACCAGTGTTATTGACATCGAGACATTGAAACTCGACGCTAATGATCCTGACACTGAAAAAAAGTATATTCTTAAAATAAGTTTTTCCAGAGATATTTTTATAAAATAAGTTTTAAAAATTGTCAAAATGTAAAAAGTCTTGGTTGCAAATGCAAGGGCCCGAGAACTGGACAACTGGTTATTATGCCCACGACCAGTTTGAGGCTTGAATGATTTTTTTTCATCAACTCGAAACGGCAACTTTTATGTATTCGGTTAGCGTGCCCCTAAATGATGTGTTTTATAAAAAATATATATATAAGTTTATTTAAAATAAATAAATGAAATTATATATTAAATTTATAATAATTGATAATCAACTAATTATATATAGTAATGTGAAACTGAATGGGATGGGACCTATCCTAGTCCAATGAATCTGGATAAAAGGTTGTTCAGATTCGTTGAATTAGAATACGTCTCATCCAGTTCTAGATTACTATATTTTTGGACGGAGGTGGTATGTTCGCGCATTGAATATTATATTGTTGGTAACTTGAAACGTCGATAACTTGGTAATATTTGCTAATAAGCTTACGTTGAACTATTAGTGATAATTTTTCCAGGTTGTTAATTATGTTAATCTTTGTTTAATGATCTATCCATTGAGAGATATTAGGAGCCAACGTTTCACTTATTCGCGGAAACGACATATTTACAAACAAAAAGTAATTTGTGAATAAAACTTTTATATACGTGTTCTTAGCGATCTAAAAGACCGAAAAATAAACATTGATGAAAAAACCTCAAAATCACCTCCAATTTTAAAGTTGAAAATTTAAATTTTGATTCATAAATATAAATATAAGCGAAAAGATAAGGCTGATTGCTCAACAAACCACTGTGTGTCCATTGGATATCAGGTCTGATGTTAAATTCTGCGCGCCCGAACATTATTCAATTCCTTTTTTTTTCAAATGTAAGCATTTCATTTTAGGAGGCATCTTCTTTTGACAAGGTGAAATACTTTTTCTCTAAAAAAACGCAAATACTAATTTATACTGTGCAACTAAATAAAGAGAAGGAAAACCATCCCATGCCTAAGTCTGAGTTGGCCGTCATCATGACGCAGTTAAATTAATCAGCTGCCGTACCAGTCGTAGATCTAATGCATGTGCCTTAACCGTAAGCTAAGTATGTGTGCCCTATTATGCCCGACACACCATCAGCTTCTGCACTGGCCTGCTCTGATTTCGTGTGACAGCGACACGGTATGGAATGACCGAATCAATCAAATAGGATTCGTTGACACCTAAAATTTGGACCTAGGTTCGAAATAGAAAAAACATTATCAAAATTTAAAAAGCATCGGTTTCCTTCACGGAGCTGGTCTGACCGATGCCTATAGGCTAGTCTAACCGGCGTGTTGCACCAGTCTGACCAGCGGCATAGTCTGACTCCGAGTAGTTTTCGTTGGGTCTCGGGTTTCCTTTCTCGAGAAGTTATGTTTCAGGTTTTCATTGGTTTCTATTTTGAGTTGGACGTGGAGGAGGCAAGACCAACCCCTATATAAGGAACAAGGCCAGTTTAATTGAAAGCAGAATCTACTATCAACCCTATTTAACCAATTGAATCGCTTTTTCGATATTGCATACTACAATAAATATGACCTTTTGTGACGAATTCCTCATGACGTCGGAGCTATTCGTCACTAGTACATTCCATTTTATGACGATTAGTATGAGATGGGGTGGCTTAGTGACGAAAGAAAAGTGTTCGTCGTTAATACCAACTAGAAATCGTCATAAAGTTTTTCAATGGGACATCGTGACAAATATTAATTTGTCATAAAGGGTACAAAGCAAACGTCATAAATTTATATAATGCATTTCTAGAAAAATATATTAAAAGTTAAAGCAATTTAATCAAATGAATTAATGAGAAAACTAAAATTTTCCTTTAAAAATCATGGTCGGAAATATTTTTCTAATATTCTACGTGGTCTAAATAATTATCTGAAATTTTCCGTGAATATTCAGTGCTCAATAACTAATTTTAATACCACAAAATTCATTTAACAATTAAAATAAATGAAAAACAAATTGAAATTACTCTCTCCGTCTTTGGGCTTTTTCGGCCCAAGTATTACTCTCTCCCTCCCTCCATCAGCCCGCAGCCTCTCTCTTCCTCCTCCTCTCTCTTCGGGCCACCAGCCCAGCCCTTTTGTTCCTCCCTCGCCGAGAAGTCTATTTTGCCTCCCTCCTCTCAATTCAAATAATTGTTCGGATAGTAAATGATTTCAAATGAAACAATTACCAAAAACAAAGTTGTATAACTTATTAAGATCTACAACTTTTATTTTGGTCATTTTGCTATATGACTTTGTTTCAATAATTTGAATTTGAATTTCAAATTATGACAACTTCAAACAACGTTTTCAAATACTAAATGATTCCAACTAAAAAAGTCATCAACAAAAAATTTGTATAACTCATCAATATCTACAACTTTTGTTTTGGTCATTTTGCTATATGACTTTATTTCAATAATTGGAATTTGAATTTCAAATTATGACAACTTTAAACAATATTTTCAAATACTAAATGATTTCAACTGAAAAAGTCATCAACAACAAAATTGTATAACTCATCAATATCTATAACTTTTATTTTGGTCATTTTTTCATCCGATAAAATGATTGTAACATTATTCATGAAATTTATATATCTCTCTTATAGTTTATAAAACCATATAAGAGATATGTAAAATTTGTGAACAATGTTAGTATCACTTTATCGGGTGAAGAAATGACCAAAATAAAAGTCATAGATATTGATGAGTTATACAACTTTATTGTTGATGACTTTTTCAGTTGAAATCATTTAGTATTTGAAAATATTGTTTGAAGTTGTTATAATTTGAAATTCAAATTCATATTATTGAAACAAAGTCATATAACAAAATGACCAAAATAAAAGTTATAGATATTGATGAGTTATACAATTTTGTTGTTGATGACTTTTTCATTTGAAATTATTTAGTATTTGAAAATATTGTTTGACGTTGTGATAATTTGAAATTCAAATATTATATAGGTCAATCAAACTCAGATGGAGAAATAACCAAAATAAAATTAGTATATCTCAATAATTTATACAATTTTGTTTTGACAACTTTTTCACATAAGTTTATTTATTATGATTTTTTTGTGTGTTACTTCATAGTGGTACAATAAAATAAAAAGAAAAGAAAGGTTAAAAAGAGATGGGATGAAAGAAGGCCTGTTATGGGCCAGCCCTTTTGCTCTTCCATCGCCGAGAAGTCCATTCTACCTCCCTCCTTTCAATTAAATTCAAAATATTAAAACTTCTGTTCGAATTTTAACATACTAAATGAATTTATGTAAAAAAGTTGCCAAAAACAAAGTTGTATAACTTATTGAGATCTACCTATTTTATTTTGGTTATTTTTCCATCTGAGTTTGATTGACCTATATAATATTTGAATTTCAAATTATGACAACGTTAAACAATATTTTTAAGTACTAAATGATTTCAACTGGAAAGGTCATCAACAACAAAGTTGTATAACTCATCAATATCTATAATTTTTGTTTTGGTCATTTTGCTATATGACTTTATTTCAATAATTTAAATTTGAATTTCAAATTATGACAACTTCAAACAACATTTTCAAATACTACATGATTTCAACTGAAAAGTCATCAATAACAAAGTTGTATAACTCATCAGTATCTATAAATTTTATTTTGGTCATTTCTTTATCCGATAAAGTGATACTAACATTGTTCACAAAATTACATATCTCTGTTATAGTTTATAACTATATAAGAGATATGTACATTTTGTGAACAATGTTACAAATCACTTTCTCGGATGAAGAAATGACTAAAATAAAAGTTATAGATCTTGATGAGTTATACCACTTTGTTATTGATGACTTTTTCAGTTAAAATCATTTAGTACTTGTAAATGTTGTTTAAAGTGGTCATTTAGCACTTTGTTATCATTTAGTATGATAAAATTTGATTCGAAGTTTGAATATTTTGAAACTATTTTTTTTAGAAAGATATGGCGCCAAATTTTTTTGGGGCAGGAGCCAAAAATTTTCAGACTCAAGCCACTTCGCGGTCAAGCCAAACATTTTCAAGGTGAATTGACCATTTTATCCAAACAATTCAATAACTACTGTGGACGCACTAGGGTTATTTTGCTAAAACCGCGTTGCGATTGCTTCATATCCCTGGTTCCCCAAACCCTAGCCGATCCTAAACCAAATCCACCGAAACCCAGCCGCCATCGTCCCCTTCGGCTCCCATCGGATGGCCTATTCAGCCAAAGAAAAAAAACCAAAATTTAAATTTTCAAACTTAATTTTGACATTGATTTTGAGATATTTTCAACGTAGTTTCTTTTTCAGCATTGGCTTTTAAGTCACCGAGAACACATATATAAAAGTTTTACCTACAAATTTATTTTTATTCTCTAATAAGCCGTTTTGGCTTATTACGAAAAAAAAAGCCAAACGATGAGGCCCTTCCTCGCCACCGCCATCCACTCTACCGCCGAGCTCCTCACCCACCACCACCGACGGCGACTATCTCCACCGCTGCAATGTCCCGCCGCGACTCCTCCATCGGCTCATCCGCCGCCGCCGCGTCGTCCACCACCGGCGGCGGCTTCTCCTCCCCGTTCCCCAACCTCGGCGTCCCCCTCTCTTCCCCTCAATCCACCGATCCACTTCGCCACAACCCCCTCTCTTCCCCTCTCTCCGTCGCTCTCGCTCCCCCTCAACAGCCGCCGCATCTTTGTTGGGACAGCGACACTCGCCGCCCTCCACTCACTCTCGTCCGGGCCGCCCCCATTCTTCGCCTGGGCGCCTGCCTCTGCGCCGCCAGATCACCATCGTCCGGAGTCGCCGGGGTCATTGTCCTCGCCTGGCAAGCCGATCTCCTCCGCGTTGCCGGTGGGATTTGCAATGGGGATGGCGTCGTGCCCTGCTCGTCTCTCCACAGCAGTCGGTGCCGATCCCCTGCCTCTCCCACGCCTTGCGTTGGCCTGGCACGACCCCCTCGCCTCTGCATCGCCCTGCATCGGGCTGCTCCTCCGTCGACAGATCCCAACGCCGACATATCAAGGACTCCGCCTCGCTGTCGTCAAGGTGGTGGAGGTGGTTGCCTCCGGAGTCCCTGTGACGACGGCAACGCAGCTTGGCCATGTTGATTGCTTGGATGCGGCTCAGCAAATGCCTGGTGGGTAGCGATTGTTGCGCTTCTCTTTCTTTGTTGCTAATACTGGGTCCTTATTTCTTTCTTTGCTTACTAACTTCTGGATCCCTATATCTTCTGACTCTTTTTTTTTTGTGCAGCAGTCGAGGTTTTGGGCTGCCTTCCTCTTCCCCTTTTTTCTTTATGTACATGGTTTTGAAGAGATTCATTTTTATTTTTCTGTTTTCAAGAGGTCTAGACTGATGGTCATTTCATAAAAATCTGCTGATATGATTTTATAAGTGAACAGGATCAAATTCGTTTAAATGTACAAGCTGTTATGAAATTAAAAGAAGTAGAAGTTTCTTGGAATGTACATGCTATTAAGAAAACTAGACTGGGGCGCGCCAAGCGCCTCATGCATATAATTTGTTTTCATTTTATTTTTGTGACTTCAGTATGCGTCCTGTGCTGTTTTTTTGAGCATCAAGTGTTACATGTATCCAACAAATAAAGGGGCAATTGTTTATTTGACCCCGTTTTAAACCCTAACTATCAATTTGACCCTATTTTTTTTAAGTTTGTTTATTTGACCCTCCTTTTCCAAAACGAAGCTTCCGTCTGACCCTACTTCCACTAATCCGTTAAGTTTTGATTTAAAATAAAAAAAGAAATGTAACTAATATTCATAATACCCAGAATACCCCTTAGGAAACCTATCCATCCACTAAACCCTATCCACACATCTCTCTCACATCTCTCTCTCGTTCTTGCGCCAGTTGCGGTGGCGGCGCTCTGCGTGTGCGGCGGCGGCGGCGGGACGGGGGGATCTGCGCCGGCGCCCGGTCATCACGGCGGATCCCCAGCTGGTGTGGCGGCGGCTGCTGCGTGTGGCGGCGGTGGGAGGGCCCGACCCTCTCTCATTCACATCTCGGCGGGGGTGGCACGGGGAAGGAGGAGGTGGCGGCGGCGCCGACGCCGATGCGGGGAGCGAGCAGGAGGAGGCAGCGCCGCGGGGAGGAGGGCCCAACCCTCTCTCTCATTCACATTTCGGCGGTAGCGGCGGCACGGGGAAGGAGGAGGCGGCGGCGGCGCTGATGCCGGGAGCGAGCAGGAGGACGCGGCGGCGCGGGGAGGAGGGCCCGACCCTCTCTCATTCACATCTCGGCGGCGGCGGCACGAGGAAGGAGGAGGCGGCGGCGCCGACACCGACGCGGGGAGCGAGCAGAGGAGGCGGCGGCGGGGGCACCAGCACGCGGAGAGAGAAACGGTGGCTGGGGTGACGCGAGGAGGAAGGTCGTGGCGTTGCACCGGAGAGAGGCACCGGCGGCAGCGGCGGCACCGGCACGCGATGAGATCAGTGGTGACAGGGCTGGCGCGCCTAGGGAGGATGGGGCGGCGGGGAGGAAAGAAGCAGAGGTGAAGAGAGAAAAGAGGAGAGAAGAGAGAACTGACGGGTGGGTTCCACATGTAATAGGGTCAAATTTGTAAGGGCATAAGAGACATTTTGTGCTTCATTTAACACCGTTAGATGACTTTAACAGAATAAGGTCATACCGTTTCTTCATTTTCGAAAAGGAGGGTCAAATAAGCAAACTTAAAAAAGTAGGGTCAAATTGGTAGTTAGGATTGAAAACAGGGTCAAATAAGCAATTACCCCAAGGGCAATAAAATATAGGACAAGTTATAAACCGGTTCAAACTTAAAATATCACTTGGGACACATTTCATGTTTGTATTTCTGCAAACTTGGGCTGGTGCTATATTCATATAGAACTCGACATTACTGATCTGAGAACTCATATCCGGTACAGAATCAAAGCAGATGAAGCACCTATGCAATACAATCAATAGAATCAATGGAAGAGAAAGCCAACTTGCACAGATAATCTAAAGCTAGCGGCTAACATTTCTGGTAATATAGAGCAGCTGCGATAATATAAGTATGCCTCTTAGAATTTATATTTTCTTCTTGATAATCCTGCAGGCACATATGAGAGAAATACATTTAATTTAATATCAGCGGAAGGTTTGAGTAGTTATGGAATGAAGGAACCATGACATTTTAGCAAGCATACCATAACATCAATCAGAAAAACAAACTGTTTTGTACAATCAACTAACCACCTTCAGATTTAATTTAGGCACAATTGATCGGTGGCTGCAAGCAACATGGTCCCATACTCTGATATTGATTTGTCTTCCAACTCTTAAACTTAAGACGCACTGGAAGGAATGGCAGGTTATCCTCAAGATTTGTCTTTCCTTGAAAGATTTGAGAAACTTCAGTAAAAAAAAAAATCCCTTTTTTAGCTTGACCAACTTATACTTTTATTATTCTCATCAACGTGCTTCACAAGGAATAGATAACCAAAATTGCATATAACAGCCAATGAAAATTTCATTACCATATTTTCCAGACCTAAGAAAAACCATTATATTGTTTGAGATCACATAAAGTTTAACTCATGAGCTTCCAAACCTAGGAAATTAACTATTTCATTTTCATATATCATACCTTCTATTGCCACGGAAAGCCAGTGCTGGAAACAATGGGTAGCATACTGAGACACATCATGCTGATTTTGTTTGGGATCACAGAATGACTGAGACGAAAAACTTCAGTATGTCAGTTCAAAACTACAATAGAGTCATCTAGCCTAGTTAGAACTGCAAAATAGCTAGCAATTCTGTGACATTTTTTTGACACAATTTTTTACAAACAAATAAAATTATAGCAAGCAAAAATTATTCTAAATTGTTTTGCGCAAAAGCTGGCTGAAGACTTAATTTCCAAGCCAATGCGTCACCAGTAAACAGAGCAGAATGACAGCAACCCTTTCAATTGGACCAACCCAACCAAACCACATTAATTCTGTCAAGCAATAGAACTAAGTGAAAATTTGAAGTGGCCATATTATTCTGCCAATATTCTAATTGCAAATAGAAAACAATGATACTGGCAGCTGTTTCAAAGCTAAAATACATTGTAGATCATGCAAAGCAAATATCTTGATAATTCAAATATGGTTGTAATCTAATTGAAACCATGTGATGTCTACATAACAAAAACTATATAATATATCATATATCAACAGGCGTGTGAGGGCACTGATAAGCAAAACATGACAAATATAGATGAAAATATTAATTTAAACCAAATTGTATATAAAGAAATATTGCAATGGAAGGAAATGTTGTGAATATAAGCAACTAATAGAGTTGGGATCAACCTATCATTTGGGGTAAAAAGATTGTTTTACTTAAATGGTTACGCTGATACTTCCTCTATTAGATCAAAGCGGTAAGAAATAATTCCAATTATCTTACATTTAGCTAGTGTATGAATTAAGTTAGCGGTAAGAAATAATTCCAATATTCCAATGCAATACAGATTACATATTGTCCCATGAGTTTTTAGGTCTAGCAGAAGTGTATGACTATAACCAAGATCTGTATGGTAGATATTGTAGGAGTTGCAGGCTAGATGAATTTTCCATTCAAGCATAATGTAGACAAGTCTGTAGAATAAGCTTTATAGGGATAGACCCTTGTATAATGTAAAAAATAATAGAATGAGAGGATCAGTTGCATACCTCCAAAGTGAAAATTGCCACTCGGATCTACATAGTTTTAAGAATCTTAAACATCAAGGAAATATTCATTCAACAGCTCCATGCAAAATATTAACTTTTTTATATATGTAATTACAAACGGTGAAGAAATACCATGGTTTTGTTAATGGATTCTTTTTGAAAAAAAATGTTAATAAGTGGCAACAGAACATGGTTTTACTTAAGATAAGTGATATGGTACTACAATTTAAGAAACAAGAAAAGAATGTAACTTGTATGTAATTTCTTTTGTCCTTAGCAATTTTAATATTTTTTCTTTCCAGTATTAGATATTGTAAGCATGCAACAAATAACAACTAAAAAGTTGTATAGAACAATCATGTGGTCCAAATTATAAACGATTCAAAGTGGAAATATCACTGGGATACATTTTATATTTGTATTTCTACAAACTGGGGTTGGCACTCAACATTACTTATATGAGAACAAAATGCATAACCAGTACATATACAAAGCAAATCAAGCAACTGTGCAATTCAATCAATAGGATTTCATGGTTCATCTGTATCGGACAACCTGCATTTCTGCTCACATAGAGTAGCTGAACAATTTGAAATGACATATTGGGGACTCCCAGATTGACCTAATGTTGGATGGTGCTGTGTGATTCCCCGTTTAGTCGGTAGTTTCCTTAAGACGAACAATACTGAAGCTGAAGGTACAATCTCAACCAACCATCTAAGGAAAGTGAATGTTATCAACAAAGGATATCGGTGAGTACAATTGTTGGTTTGCACATGCTCAAAATGACACAACATAGGATTGTGTTTTGCAGTTTATTCTTGGCACATTTTTTAATGGCTAGTTGCAAAAGCTAAATAAATTTGGTAGGAATTATCTTTTATGTCGATTACTTCACAAAAATCCAAGGATACTCCAGTAACAAAAGTTCATTTTTAACTCGTTCAGCAAAATTGATATGTTATACTTTCAAATGGCTAGTTACATGTAGATCTGTTTTCATCGCTTCAACTATGAATTTGCCATGATTATCCATAGGGAAAAAGATAGTCCCATTACACAGATGGAACAATGGATTGACAATTTGTAAAAGAATCACCATATAGTATTTTTGCTAAAAAAAATGCCTATGCGCAGATACATGCACACACACGACTTTTGTGAAATGAATATTTTTTTGTTCCCTCTTATATATTCTACCAAAATCAAATTCTTTTAGCCATAATCTCGATAGCATTTTCAGCTCAGGTATTTCTCTAAACACAATTAATCTATTAGGATATAAACAAGGCAAAGGAAATATATCTTTCACAAGTTTATACTATAATCTAGCAGTATGCTTTGTTTGCTTCCACACCAATTAAAATCATGTTATAAATGATTTCCTCGAGGTGAACATCACAAGTGGCAAATGAAAATGAATAATGCAGAGCTGCTAGCATTAAATGACAATGCTATTAACAGAGATTTATATGTAAATGTCATCAGATAAATGAAAGCAATGTATAAGGGTTCAAGATTGAGTATTGAACATGCGAATAGAGAAACCTACCAAACAGTAGAAGTTAAAAATTGGATGATTCAGAATATGAAGATTGATTTGTTTATTGAACGCATTGAAGCACATCTCTTAATATGCTGTAAGTAAAGTAATTAAAGTCTGGAGACCCCCCCCCCCCGCCACAAACACACAAAGAAAGTAGGAAGATATTGACATAGGACCTACTTTCTTTTATACATCTGGTCAAGAAGCCAGGAAAGCATATGGTAGTCACATATCCAACGTGTGTGAAAGGAGATGTGTTAGAAATGCAAATTATTGGAAGTATTAATTCTGGAAGAGTGGAAGGGATGACAATAAATAAAAGATAGTACCGCATTCATCTTTTTACGCCTTCCTTAGTTCCTTTCTATTCAATTGGGAAACGCTGGAACATCAGGAATAGCCTGCAAGGATAACCCCAAAATTGCAGTCATAACATGCTATCGAAAAAAAACACCACAACCAGTACCAAATAACTGCATATGCATCCAACCATGCATTCCAATTTCCAAATTATCTCATGTACAAAAGCACATGGACATGAGTATAGTCTGTGGGAAATGACTTCAGAAACATGCAACCTTGTATTGACAATACCCCATAATTCAAAACTTAAATTGATTTTAATGGAACCTAAACCATGGAAAGTATATATTGTCTACCATTGGTAACCATATAGATCATAAGTGCACTCATGTGCTGAATTGAGCTGTAGATCATGCTAGCTCTTGGTTCTGCTGAAACCAGAAAGCAACGAAAACCTCATCATTAAAATATGTGAATGTGTTAGTGATATAAAAAGCAGTTGCCATACTAAAAGGTCATGTTTATTGGTGTCTAGATCGATTTCTAAAAAGACAAAAGGCCCAGCTTCCCATGAATACATTCAACATCTCCTGGGGCTGGGGATACCTCATCATTAAAATAAAAGAAAACATTAGAAAATAAGAGGGAAAATTTCATGAGCAGCACATAAGACAAAATATACCTTATGAAGTAACACCTTAAAAAATTTGTGCAAAAACGATACCATCTAAGAACATTGATTCCAAGTGATTCAGTGAGAGTGAAACATATAAAAGGGTCTTATTTATGTTTTTTTAGGAATATATGGAGAAGCTCGAGCAAGAATCATTACATAATATGGCGGACAAATTTAAGATTAGTTCAAAGGGTCTAGAAAAGTAATCTATTATCAACTCTTACTCGACATCAAGCCATTTTTCTATTTGTAGTGAGAATGAAGCCGTGCTGAAAAGTGTTAAAAACCACCACCATCGTTACCACAAACAAGTTTTCTGTGTGCCTTGAAAAGGAAAATTGCAACATAACTTGATTACCAATAGCCCAGGAAAAAAATGTATTTCAGGGGAGATAAAAACACTAACATCATCGATGAACAACAAAATCCCATACTTTCTGTGTAACTTGACAAGCTCAGGCCATGGAGCTAAGTGACCATCCATGCTGAACATGCTGCATTACAACAAAAAGATCATCTGAGTTGGTTACGCTAGTCATTGATACCAAAATAAGTGATTTTTGAATAGAAATATAACTTGTCTATCTGTGAAAAAAATATTTTCCATTGAGCAATCGGACCTGCTAGCGTAATCACAAACATAGTTTATAACTAAATCAATTAGTGCTTAACATTATGACATGTATGTTATGACTGGGAAGTGAAAAAAATGCCCATGGATTTTAAGTCCTACACTTACTGGAAGATGTGAAGCAAACAGAGATGGCAAGATGCATGTCGTCCTCGAAGATCTTGACGGGCGCAAACCGGCAAAGAGCCGGAGTTGCTCAGATGACTATGCTGCTCGAGCAATAAGGTCAAGAGGTCAAGAAATTGGATCAAGACAAAATGAAAAGAAAAGAACAAGTGACATTGTACCTGTATCTCCCAGCACCTGTGGCACAGTGCATAAGCAACCCACAACAACAAGAAGAGAACAAAACCTCTCATTAATGAGTGCAATCTCAAATCGGAATATGCACAAGCGACCTGTTATAAGCAAACGTGAGGCTGCAACCTGCATGCTTTCCAAAGTTTTTTCTAGGTAATGGAAGCTTTACTGACTAAAAAAGTTAATGCATTTTATATGGTAAACTATAAAGAAATGAATCACATCAGTAAATCACCAATCTATGGAGCATATTAATTTATAGATACAAAAGCAACCAAGCAGAAATCTTAATCGATTATGTGCCAAGATAATCGATTATGTGTGCTATTAGACAAATAAAAATTATGGATTTGGATTATTACAAATCACTAATCTATCTATCGCCTATTCTCAATTAGAAAAAAACATAAATTAACCAGAGAAATCAAAGAAAAGAAGTTGCCTCTGTACCTCCCAGCACCTGTGCCATCTCGGTGGGCTTCAGCCTCCCTAGCCGACGCTATCTAATGTTTTTAGATGTTGATAGTCATTATTAGAATGCATATCATTGAAGCTATGATGTGAATAGGTTTTGTTGTTGGTGGACAATGTCTTTTGTATGTATTATTTGGCACGTTTATCTTTAAGTAGAGTGATGTTTAAAAAACATAGGCTGAAAGTTGAAGAGAGAGATAGTTGAGGAGAATTTTAAGCTAATAGATAGGTGTGTAAATTCTACGAGATGTTAGGTTGCATCAGCATAAATAGATGTAAATACAGGATATTGGTATGATAAAATTTTAGTAATAGTATTATAGGAGGTTGCATTCTTTTTGTCTTTATTATCTGTAGCTGTTTGTTTTTTATGATGCCCTGTCAAGAAATTAACTAATTTAGATAGAAATAGAGGTTAGATTTACCTGATCTGGTGGTATTAGAAGGGCGATGAGCTGATAGCTCTACTTCAGTGTTGGAGGAGGTGTCTGGTACATCTGCATTTAAAAATTGATTAGTAATATATATATTTCATTGTCACATCCACCCAAAATCCCTTATATTTATGTAGTTGTATTGACAATGATCAAAAAAATAATTACTACCACATAGTAATCAAATATGGAAGGTATTATGAAACAGATTAGTAAAGCAAAGAAAAGTTATGTGAGCTCTTACTGATAATTAGCAAAACAAGAGTTACATGCTAGCCAAATATTTCAGTTGACTGCAGACACTTACCTGAAAGCACAGGTCATTTAGGTAATTAACTAAAGAGATTGCAGCTGGGAGCATCTGCAGCCACACAGCTCAGGCATCATTATCTACATCAAGCGAATTTCCAAGCGTATTCAGGTAAAGGAGCACAACTTTACACAAATTGGACATCAAAATCATACTTAACATGCAGGGGTGTCTGTTCGAAGTTACTGATGTCCCCCCTCATGCAGAAAGCTGAAAAATAAATCTTTGCTTGGTAACAAACGGGCTACCACTGGCATTCTAGTAATATATAATCTAACATGATTAAAGTACGAAGTCATGATAATACTAAATAATCAGTATTTCTTATTGGTGGAAGGATTAATTCTAGAACCTCAGACCATTCAGATTCACCAATCTCATCCCTTTATTGTGCTCTGAAGCAGGTTCATGTTCTTCTTCAGGATTGAATTGTGCTCACAAGACATCAACTTCAGATGAAATAGAGGTTCTCTGAATTCTGTTGGTCAGGCAATATATAGCTGCTGCCTAGCTATATATGAGCAGCTTCATCGTAGTGCTACACACACACACCCACTTATCTGGCAAGCTCCCCATCTCCCTCCTGGGAAATCGAATTGAGCAAGCTCCCTTCCTCCTTACCTCTCAACAATGGAGAGAAGGCACCTTGAGCTCACACATTGCAAGCAAAGTTTTCTATGAGCAGACCATCAAAAGGACACCCTTTTTCACTCAAATCTAACTATGAACGAAGGGAAGAAAACATGCTTATTAGCTATAGACGAGATGATGCAGCCTTCTCGGGCCCTGTGCAATGCAAAATCTCTGAACCACGCAGTCCTGCATAGTGCATATGCCAAGCTAGAAGAAATGGAATGCAGGCTTCATCAAAAGCTCGTGAATTACACTTACAATTTATGCAGAAATTGCAGGATTTGCATATGCGTAAATTCTCCATCTGCCAATCTGCCATGGGGCGTAGTCCAAACAATGTTTCTTGGCCGTTCTTCTTGTCTGATCAGCAAAAGTGGTCATCAAGTCTTGGATTTGCAATATTCATTCAGATTGCTGCTACTGCAAACTGCAAAGGGAAAGCTGTTTCAGTCATTCTCACTTATCTTGGCAGATCAATGGTTAGTATGCTGCTTATTTTTCTCATGAGATTGGCATTGAGCTGAATTACTCATGCATAGCCAAAATGTGCACATCATTTAACTGATCTGACAAAATAATTCTGCATGGAGTACTACATTTCTGAACTTGCATCGATCAGGGCAAGAATCCTTCCTCCTACAATCTCTGCATTTCGATTTGCTTGGAAGGTTGTACTACAGTACCACTCCTAGTAAAAACACCATAAATATATTGTAAACTTACATGGCAGGAGGTGATTTATATACTCCAGAAGCGCCTCGGCCGGAGCAGGCGAGCCCGACCGCCATGGCACTCCTCGCCGCCACCGCCCGCCGCTTCTCTCGCAGCCTCCGTCGCTTCAGCTCCTATGGCGTATCTGGAGGAGAAGAAGCAGGAGTGCCCGCGGACGTGGTGGAGGCCGAGTCCCCCGTCCGCGCGCCGCCGGACGAGCAGTTCGCGGCGTGGGTCGCGCGGCTCCGGCCGGGCTTCACAGCGGGGTACCTGGCCGAGGCGATCTCCTCGGAGCGTGACCCGGACCTCGCGCTCCATCACCACCATCCCCTTCATCAGCCGTTAGATCACCGGATTCGCCGACCACGAACTCGCTGCCATCAGATCCGGCGACCTTGAGGGCTTGGCCATCGGCGGCGGAGGAGGAGGTGGAGGCGGCGGCGCGAGGGGACGGGGATGGCGATGGTGACGGCGCAGGGGAGGCGGAGGGGGAGGCGACGCGAGGGGAGGCGGAGGGGGAGGCGATGGGAGGCGGAGGCGGAGGCGGCGATGGCACGAGAGGGGAGGGAGAGGGTGAGGGAAAGACGAGAGGGAGAAGGGGGCGGAGGCGGCTAGGGTTTGGTGATAGTTGGCGTTAGTGGGCGTCGTTTTGCGAAAAAACCCCTCATCTTCTATATTTTAGAGCGCGGTCCTAATTCGCGTTTTTCCTCTTCTTTGTATGAAATATCCGGATTTTCTAAGGGTCTCAACATAAAAAATTGTCTCATAGGTACTATTTGAGAGGGACCTATATCGAATTACAGAAAAATAGAAGGACCTTTTAGCAAAAAAACCACCCGTGCACTGTTCCTATCCGACGTGGCATAGCCGAACGGGCGCCCCTTCCGCCGCTCTTAATGGTTTCTAATTTAGGGTGAACTAAATCATTATTCAATCTGTTCCCACTGTATCTAAAATTATTTTTCAACTGTTCATGTACACCGTCTGTTTTGTTTAGAGCGGCAACTCACTTTATGCAGTTTATCTGGGATTCAAACCCATCTAATCTACCGATCTGATCTGTGTAATATACAAGAGAGCAGATGTGTGCTATCAAACTTAATTTGACATGTTCTGCACAATGTGCTATGTTATTCTCTTCGAGATGAAGGTCTTGCTGCAGTGCTTCAGGTACTCGCAAACTGGTAGTCCAAATATTTCTACGTATAGATCATTCTTATGATGCTTGCATGCTTGGATTACTCAAATGAAAAGCATAGGCCACCACAGGGTCCTAATCAATATTGTTTCATATTCGATTGTTAGCAACAATATGTTCCTCAAATCTAGAAGTTTGCTTGCACCTATTAAGAACATTCGCTCTATGTCTAGCAACAAATGATTAATTTTCCATATGTCCTGTTTGTAGATGTATGCACACTGTATGTAGTCTGCCATTTATATTATGAATTCTCATGTCATTGAATTAATCCTTATGGCAACTTTTTCCCCTGATTAAGTAAACATCTATATATGGCTAATAAACCTGCCGCATGTTACTTCATCCAAATGCATTTGTCCTAAAGATCTGTACATGATTGTGGAGATTATGGATATCCCATATCTACATGGCAGTTATAGTTTAGTTGGGTACACGGTACCAAATATAGATATAATATCTTTATGAGGACTCGGGTTAGTTTCTAGACTTGTATATCAAGGAAATACCCGGGATCTTAGTCGGTTATGATTGTATTTTATCTGTAATCACATATTCCGTTAGGGATATGGACTGTATTTTGTAATACGGACTCCTTCCCCTATATAAGGAGGGGTCCGGGTTCCTCTCGGGACCCTTTTTTTCCCTAGATCATACGATCAATAATATACTCGGCGGAATCATCCCCGGACAGGAGTAGGGTATTACTTCTTGAATAAGAAAGCCTGAACCTGTATAAAATCCCTTGTCTTCAAACCCATCCACTTTTCTAACTTGATAACCACCCCCTTTTAGTATTGCCGAAATCTTGTTTTGACAGTTGGCACGCCAGGTAGGGGTAGCGTCAAGTTCTTCGCCGATTAGTGCGATGGGTTCCGTCTCCGGCATCGATGACCTCGTCTTCCCTTCCGGGCAGGCGTTTCGGTTCGGCAGCCTCGACTTCATCACCAACGACTTCGGCAAGATCTCTCTCCTTGACTCGGATCCAAACCAGTCGGGAAAGAACCAGGTCTCAGTCCCGTTCGGTATTACGAACTCGGCCAAGATCTACTCCAAGCTTATCTCGATCGAGTCGGCTTCAAACCACTCGGACGAGATCCCATCTACTCCGACACCGCCAGATCAAGATGATGGGGCCTACCCGCCAATCCTGATGAAACTCCCCGACGATTTGGCTGCCATCTTCACTACAAGGGCGTCTTCTCCCCGTAGGCCTAGGCGGAAGTCGGCTTCAACACCGATCCTGCCTAGCTCCAGAGAAGTCGGCGTCATACTCCAGCCACTCGGCATGATTTCGACGGATCAACTGGAAGGCTACTTCAGCTCCCCCGGCGTCGACTCACGACCAACAGAGATCGTGGAGTACGACGAATTCGGCTACCGCTATGACAACCGCGACCTCGACGACTTCGACGAGAGCTTTGAAGACAATTACACCCCTCTCTACTTCGGCGTCTTCATGGCCGATAACGAGACGGAAGAACAACGCCAAGCCCGTGAAGCAGAAGCATGACGCGTACAGCAGGAAGCCGAGCGACGCCGACTGGAAGAGGAGCGTCAAGCACAAGAGCAAGAATGGCTGCGGCGAGAGCAACAAGAAGGCGAACGGGCTGCAAAGGAGGCTGAGGACCGACGACAACGAGCCTTGGACACAGGGCGACGAGCGCGAGATCTCATCGGGCAGCAAGACGTCGAGGGGAGAGCGGTCTTTCGCACCCCTCAACAGAACGCTGTCGCTACGATCACCCTTCTCGACACCCTCCTCAAGGAATACGCACTCAATCAAGCTGATCATGTCGTCAACATCTTGAACCAGACCAAGACCATGATCGCCGCTTCGGTCCCGGTTAACTCCGGAAGCATCCGCACGCCGACTGGCAGCCGGGCTCCCCATCTCCGATCTCATGATTACCACCAGCCAAGCCTCAGCATCGCCGGCACAGGATCCAATCGCAGGAGCAGGGGCCACGACGAGCGATCTGTTCACTCGCCCCCTGAGCGACACAGGGAGCGCCGAGTTGAACGGCCTCGCTCCCCACCTCACTAGCGTCCTGTCGATCTTCGCGATATGATTAACCAGCGCCGTGCAGCACGAGGTCACCACCATTCACCAGATCGCTACGACGACGATGTGGATGGAGTAGCTACCTTTATTAACGACCTGCGTCGAGTGGATTGACTAGCCGGCTTCAAGCCGACTGGAATCGAGAAGTATGACGGCACCACTAATCCGGAGTCTTGGCTTACCGTCTACGGTCTTGCAATCCGCGCAGCAGGAGGAGACAGCAAGGCCATGGCAAACTACTTACCTGTGGCCCTAGCGGATTCTGCCCGATCCTGGCTCCATGGATTACCCCATGGTACGATTGGATCATGGGCAGAACTTCGTGACCACTTCATCGCCAACTTCCAGGGCACCTTTGAACGCCCCGGTACACAGTTTGATCTCTACAACGTCATTCAGAAGTCTGGAGAATCCCTTCGAGATTACATCCGACGCTTCTCTGAACAACGCAACAAGATCTCCAACATTACCGACGACGTCATCATCGCCGCTTTCACCAAAGGAATTCGCCACGAAGATCTAGTCGGCAAGTTCGGGCGCAAGCCTCCCAAGACAGTCAAACAGATGTTTGAAAAAGCCAACGAGTATGCCAAAGCCGAAGACGCCATTATCGCATCCAAGCAGTCGGGTCCTACTTGGAAGCCAAAGAAAGATGTGCCGACTACGGGAGGAGGTGGAAGTAACAATCACAAGGACTGCAAGCGTAAGCCCGAGGAACTCGTCGCGACTACTACACACTCTTCTCGACAACGTTCGCGCGTCAACACTTTTGACAAGATCATGAACTCCCAATGTCTGCATCATCCCAACTCCAACCACGCAGCTAAAGATTGCTTCGTCTACAAGCAGTTTGCAGAGCAATATGCCAAGAATGCACGGAAGACCCCTGACGGAGAACAAAGTACGTCGAAAAAGAAGGATGATGATGATGATGCCCCGACAGGTTTTCAAGATCACCGCAAGGAGCTCAACCATATCTTTGGCGGCCCTCTAGCTTACGAATCTAAAAGAAAGCAAAAGCTGACTGAAAGGGAGATCAATGATGTTCAGTCCGATACGCCCCAATATCTTCGGTGGTCGGAGATAACAATCAAGTTTGACCGCTCGGATCATCCTGACCGAGTGGTCCACCCGGGGCGGTACCCCCTGGTACTAGACCCAGTGGTTCGCAACATCAAGCTTCGCAGATCTCTCATCGATGGTGGTAGCGCACTCAATATCCTCTTCGCCAAAACCCTAGACGACATGCAGATCCCGCGCACCGAGTTAAAGCCGAGTAATGCACCCTTCCATGGAGTCATCCCAGGGCTATCGGCAACACCACTCGGCCAGTTCACTCTTCCGGTCACTTTTGGTACTCGGGAGAACTTCCGCACAGAGAACATCAGCTTCGAGGTCACTGATTTCGAGACAGCGTATCACGCCATACTCGGACGCCCGGCGTTAGCCAAGTTCATGGCCGTCCCGCACTACACCTACATGATGATGAAGATGCCTGGTCCTCGAGGAGTCATATCCCTACGGAGCAACATCAAGCAAGCCGTCACATGTGACAAGGAAAGTTGCGAGATGGCTCAAACCCGCGAGATCGCGATTGCTCAAGAAGACATCCGACTGGCTGCAACCACGGCAAGCGAGGGAGAAGTGCCTACAGCCAAGATCTCAAAGAGTGGAGAAAGCGAAGCCAAGACCAAGAAAATTCCCCTAGATCCTTCTGATCCTACTAAAACTGCTGTGATAGGCGCCGAGTTAGATTGTAAATAGGAAAGCGCGCTCATCACCTTTCTTCAAAACAATAAAGATATCTTTGCGTGGAAACCATCTGATATGCCTGGTATTCCTAGAGAGGTGATTGAGCACTCTTTGCACGTTAAGGAAGATGCTAAACCCATCAAACAACGACTCCGCCGCTTTGCACAAGACATGAAGGACGCGATCAAGGAGGAATTGACCAAGCTGTTAGCAGCAGGCTTCATCAAAGAAGTCATTCATCCCGACTGGCTGGCTAACCCAGTCCTAGTTCGAAAGAATACTGGGCAATGGCACATGTGTGTCGATTACACCGACCTCAACAAGTCTTGCCCCAAAGATCCTTTCGGGCTGCCTCGCATTGACCAGGTAGTCGACTCGACCGCCGGCTGCGAGCTGCTCAGTTTTTTGGATTGCTACTCGGGATATCATCAGATCCGATTGAAGGAATCCGACTGCTTGAAGACTTCGTTCATTACGCCCTTCGGGGCCTACTGCTACTTCACCATGCCTTTCTGTAACGCCCCGATTTTCGTTCGGGATTAAAAATCAATTAATAATGCATTTC